TCCTGTGTTAAAAACCCATCCAGTTTGAAAATAACCCCATCACAAGAACAAATAGAACCATCCTTCTCAAATATCACCAATATTCAAACCCGAAACAAAAGCTCCATCAATCATAATACCCATACATGACGCAGAGAAAAGAGAACTTCTTGGGTCTATGGTGATGCCTAATGGGGTGAGCAGTGGCGGTTGTGGCAGACGATAAAGGAAAGTGGGTTTTGTGATTTGGAGAATTGATATAATCTCCTTGAAATTTCAATTATAATACCCATACATTTAGTTTTTGGATAAATGTTATTATTTCTATTCTAATTGAAATATGATTTAATGACAATTTATCTTCAAAAAATGAAGTTGTGGCAAAGTAAGGCCTGTAATATCAATTTGAACTATTTTAATCCTAAACTATTAGATTTTGAGACATTTTTATTTTTCTCTATTATTTCTGACAATCAAAGTTTTGTTCGTTTTTTTTTTAATATCAGTTAATTTCAAAAAAATTTAAATGATTTTGTTGTTTATAGATTTGACTTTGTTGTTGGATAATTAATGATGTGTAATTAATCCATCTAGTAAAAAAAAAAAAAAAGTAAAGGGATAATTACCGGAAAAACCTTATAAAAAAATCTTCTATCTAAAAAACCCATAAATTTATTTTTAAATCTCCCTAACCCAAAATAATATTTTTCATACTAAAACACCTGTTTTGATAAGAAAAATATTGTTTTAAGCTTGTGAGATTTAAAAATATTATTTTGTGTTTGAGAGATTTAAAAATAAATAATGAATTTTTTAGATAGAAGATTTTTAGAATGTATTTTGGTAACTATCCTTAGTTTAAACGAAAACATTATTTTTCAAGATATGTATTTCTATTATGGATGATCATGTTTTAATAATACGTATTCTTATTTTTCTTATTTGTATGATAATCCTTTTGATTAAATTACAAGAGAATAACAAGAGTCATAACAAGAGTCTCATTCATCAATATTACTTAGTTAAATTGCATTGGTTGTTATAGTTACTAGATAGTAAAATTAATCTCGTAATTAATGAAACAAACGGTTGATAGAAAAAGCTATAGTATAAGGATTCTTTTTAGTATAATAGAAAAATAGTATTCGAATGTTAGTATTTAAAAGTCAAAGAACCTCAAAAACTTTTGTCCTTTTGAATGCGGTAAAAAAGAATTTGACTTGATCATGAAAAAAATAATAATAAATATCAAACTCATTAAAAAATATGAAATGAGTTTATTATTAGATAAAAACTCTAAAAATTTTTCTATCTTAAAAATCAATCAATTTATTTTTTAAATTTATCGAACATAAAAATAAAAAAATTATCTTACCAAAAGCCCCAACGAGTTAACTAGTGTTAAGTTGGAGGTTAATTATTCGATGTTTTGGTAAGAAAAATATTATTTTGGGTTTAAGAGATTTAAAAATAAATTGATGGGTTACTTGGATATAAGTTTTTTTGAAAGGTTTTTTTTGGTAATTATCCCAAAACTAAATTATTAATTTATTTTTAAGAATTAAAATCAATGTCAAAAAAATATTTAATCATGATTAGCTTTAAGGTAGTTTAGATGATTTCTTTATTTATGAATCTTGTTTTGTTAGATAATTAATGATGTGCAATAAATCTGTCTACTTAAAAAAATGAGTTATTAAATTTTTTAAATTAATTTAATTTTTTTAAATCTAGTTTTAAACATTTCAATTAACAATTAACACTTTGACTATTAATAATAATAGAAAAAGATAAAATTTCCTAAGAAATTACTAATTTAGAATTCAAATAGCCCAATTAATAGTATAAACCTTATTTTGACACAATCTCAATAATTTGAAGAAAAATTTTACCATTAAACCACATTTTAATTTATGATCAACTTTTTTACCGTTAAAAACAACAAAAGAAAGAATAACATTGACTAAAAAAAAAAAAGTTTAAAATCCAAATAACTCAAATTAATAATATGAGTCTTCATTTGCCATAATCTAATGATTTAGAGGTGATTTTTGTCATTAAACTCGTTATTATGCGGGTAGCTTGTTTTTATTTTTAGTGATTTAACTATTTAATGAGTTTAGGATTTCGATTTGGGGGTTTTAAAGAAAAAAATAGTGTTTTTATACCTAGTATTGTTTTTTTTTTTTTGTCATACCACGTAAAGTTTCGATCCAACTATTAGCAAAAAAAAAAAAAAAAACATTCAAAACAACTATATTAAAAAAAATTACAAGAGTTAAGGGAAGTAATGTTATTTTATAACAGAACTCTATTTTTGATTATATATATATATAATCAAAAATAGAGTTCGTTATAAAATAAATAGAAATAATAGGAGAATTGAAGAAAAGGATGACAAGAAAATGAAATTACTATAATGTGAATATAAGTGATAAGAACTTCAAATTTCTCTTATTCTCTCTAAGAAACTTATACACCAATTAATGAACAATCAAACCTATTTATAGGTTTCAAAATTGAAAAGAGAATTGAAAGGGATTATGAATAATCGTTATTATGTATCACATTGAATACATTTTAAAATACTCGGAGATTCAATCTAAATTTTACTTGATGATAGCTTAATCATCAATTTGCCTTGGCAATATACGGAACATGAAAGTTCATTAAATTGAAGAACCTTCCGGCTCTTCAATAGATATTCATATAAATTTTTTAATAATTTTTTCACATCATGAAAGACCAAAGATAACACAACTAGTAATGTCACATAGTAAAATTAGTAAACTTTTGGTTTACTATAATATTTTTTTCAATCATTTTAATGTTTGTAATAAAGACTAGAAGAGAAAACGAGATAAATTTTTTTATAGATACTTTCTATCCAATATAATGATTATAACATATAAGTATTCACATTTGCTATCCCGATATGATATCAATTCAAATGAATATCTTTAAAACTCAACAAATTTTTATGAGACTTTGAAGAGAATAGTACATCGTTTATAATAAATTTATCCTTTTAGATAATAACATATTTGCTCTTCTAGAGCCTTTAAATTAGTCACTTCAAGTAATAATATATCGACTCTTCTAGAGCCTTTAAAATTTTTTTCTTCAAATAATAATCTATTCACTCTTCTAAAGCTTAAAAAATTTGTCTCTTCAAGTTATAATATAATTGCTTTTCTAGAGCTTTCAAAATCTATCTCTTTAGATAATAATATAGTCACTCTTCTAGAGCTTTCTATTAGATTGATATTATCATAGATAATATTAACATAAAATAAATAATCAAATAAATCAATACAAAATAAATAAATCAATATATGCCTCATAAACATAAACAAACAAATAAATAGTAAAATAAATTTGTAACCATCAATATACAACATAAATTATAAGAAATATAAAATATTTTATTTATAAATATAAAAACTAACAAATAATTAATTTCAATTACTATTACTTTGATATATAAAAGTAGCCTCTATATTTTACTTTTTTTTCCTTTTTCAACGAGGTTTGACAAGGCTTGATGAGATGCTTTAGTGTACGACAGGTACACGACTAATGTCCATTCATACCATATTTATAATATTCATTTTCGGAATGTCGACTTTATCTATTTTCATTCTTCTTCTTTTTCGTAGTTATACACTTCGGTGATAATATGTAATATTATGGTCATTACAATTATAATAATTATTATTTTGACAACATCTATGGCTATGACTACATCTTCGTCCATGCCTAAAATTATTATAAATTGTCACATTCACTTCGGGGAATGAAATAGATCCAATTGTACGAGATTTATTCTTTTTCATCAATAGCTTTTCATTTTATTTAGCCATGAGCAAATATGAAATCGATTCGAATATTTCTTAAACTCCTTTTCTTGATATGCTACTGCATGAGCATATTCGAGGCATGAAAAGTAAATAATATTAACTTAGCATCAAGCACTAATGATCAATAATTATTGCCTAAAATGTCAAGGGCCACAAAATCAAATTTCGTAATGGTTGATAAGATATCATTAAAATTGTATATTGCAAAGTATAATAATAATGTTAGAAAATAAAGATAAAATATAATAATAAAATTTAAATAAAAACAAATATAATAATAAAATTTAAACTTTTCAAATAATATATATATTAAATTATTAGATTCTATATATTAAATCATTAAAAATTTTCAAATGTATATTCTATGTATCATTAAATTTAAAAGACATAATAAATTAAATACATATCTCTTAATGATCTAAATAATAATTTAAATCCAATTGGTAGAGCACTTATGCAAAAGAAATCTAATGATTAAAATAATTGATTAAGTATTTTAGTAAATACATACCTCATGGTTTATTATCTCGATTGATTAGAACTTCATGATGATAACATGTTATAAAATAAATAAAAATAATAGGAAAATTGAAGAAAATGAAATCACTATAATGTGAATATAAGTGATAAGAACTTCAAATTTCTCTTATTCTCTCTAAGAAACTTATACACCAATTAATGAACAATCAAACCTATTTATAGGCTTCAAAATTGAAAAGAGAATTGAAAGGGATTATGAATAATCAATTACATTACTATTTCAATTTCTCATATTGAACGATGAATTAAATTATATTAAAAATCATGAGTAGTGAGGATATAAAAAATGAATGAACATGATGATTAATATTCATTATTTCATAACAAGTTCCTATTTTATTGATAGTATTTTATACCTGTTCATGGGCTGAGCCAGGCTCAGTTCGGGCTGGGCTCACCCAGGAAGAAGCGACCTCGGGCCCGGGGGGTGGGTGGGTTAATTTTAGCGTGGACAATTTTTCTTCTTTCATATGGAGTTTACGTACAAGAGGATAAGTGTACAAGGTTAAAACCCTATTGAAGGTGAAATAACTCCGAAAATTAACATAATGCACCTCGAGTTAAACAGAGATAAGACAAAGAAAAAGCGATCTTCTATTTCAATTCCGGACCTGCAGTACTTCACAAGACTTCAGGGGGAGCTAAGCAAGCTAGCAACTTTTGGCATATTTGTTGTAATTCAAGGGAAGAATCTGAAAAAGATACACTTGAGAGCACAGATCTTGCTTCTAGCAACCCGCCTGATATACTTCTCACAATCACATCTTCACTAGCCATAAGAGATGCGATTAGCTTTGCACCTGCCAACCTCTCCTGATAGAGCCACCAATTGAACGCAAAAATAGATTGGGTGAGTGACAGAAAAAGAGAGTAAAAATAGCCTAAACTGATGTATCCAATTCATTTTATTGGGGAGAAGAAACAGCAAAAAGAAATTTATTTTGGAATGCATCCCACCATGTGACACAATTCAAATTTGAACTTTGAGCAAATTGAAAACGAAAAAAAAAATCACGCATGGAATCTTCTGGTCACTTGCAGAATGAGTGAATTATAAACTAGTCCCTCTCGTGTATTAGTCTCCTTGTTTTAAAAACTAATCATTTACTCTCCCATGTTTGAATTCCATCAATACCTTAATCCTTCCATCAGTTTTTCATCAGTTTAGTGATTTTTTCCCAAATTGTCTTTTTTATGTTTTATTTCTCTCTCTCTCTCAAAAAAAAAAAAAAAAAAAAACAATTCAAAAATAAAAATCACTAATCTAATGAAATGACTTTGTTATTGATGAAATTAAAACATGAGAGACTAGATGATTAGTTTTCGAAAGGAAGGGGACTACTTAATTTGTTTCTCTAAAAAAGAGGGACAAATTTATAATTTTCTCCTTGCAGAATTCATGGTTTAAATTCTAAAGTTTTTTATCGATAAAATGTGCTAGCTGTAAGCTCAGGTCAAGGTAGAAATGCGTATTGCTGGATCCTTAGCACCCATGTAATTATGAAAAAATTATCAAAGAACCATATATACATGCAAGATATCTATGTTGTGTATAAGTATGTCAATGCATGGAGGTCTAAATTAAAATTACACATGCACTATGAGGATATTTGATGTCAAAATATAAGACAAGTTAAGAACACTGAATAAAATTGTCTTGGACTGTGGTTTACCTTCTCTGACCCTCGGCTAAGAAATTTGAGAGAGAGGTTTAGGAGATCAGACGAATAAGGAAGAACTGCAGACTTCAGATGGTAAACAGCTGAAAACAGAACCTGGATGCAAGCAGCTCTGATGTCTGGGTGCAGTATGCCCTGCATTATGTGAAATTGTTTATTGCCCAGAGCAGGACTGGAAGTCATAGAAAGTATGGCTTCTTTTCCTTGTTTAAGACTACAAAGCAAAGATAATAAATAAGCAAGGTACCTCAACAGCTTGAATCAGACGTGGAACTGTTTTTTGAGCAAAAGGTTTCTTGCCAGAGTCTGAGATCTTCTGGCAAGCACTGATAAGAATGTTGGCCATACAGACACGAAAAGAATGAGTGGTTGGTGCCTCAAATGCAGAGTTCTCCCTACCCAACATGGAGGCAGAAACCAGTTCATTTTCATCATTTATAAGTAGATTGATTACATATGAGAGGACGCAGTTTCCTGAGGCAGCATTCCCTGTATTTTGCACCAACAAAGTCAAAGTAAGACATAAATGCCCAGTGAGAAGCATAAAATGCTTGTACTGAGGGTAAGTTACCAACCACAGTAACTGGTCTTCCCAGCAGTGCCTAAGTTCTTTGAGGATTCCTTAACTGATGCAGGAGCTTGCAGCTTAGCACATATCATAAGTGCCAGACAATCAATGCAACCATGTTGTGCTTTGGAAACTGAAACAACAAAAGAAATTCAGAACCGTCATATTCGAGCTAAGAGTAAGATGGACAAAAGTACAAAAATATTTACCTTCATCTCCATCTAATGAAGGCCATAATAGAATAGTTTCCAGCATTTTTCTTATTTTCAGAATAGCAGGATGAGAAATTGAATCCAAACCTCTAACCTACAAACCACCATAAGCATTTACATTAGTTTCGACATGATCGGTCATAAGAGACTTAGAAGTGTAGAATATGAGAAAAAGATTGTATAATTACCACGAGAGAAGTGCAAACTGAAAACAAGCATGCTTTTATCCTTAATAAATCACGAGAAACAGCAGCATGTTCTAATATGGATGAAGCAATTGGTAAGAGCACCTGCAAAATCAAGAGGGTGAGGACTGAGGCATGCTAAAAAGTATCATTCTTGACTGGGTTCAAAAGAAAAATTACTACAACCAAAAAGAGAAGAGATTGCATGTATACAACATCCACACACTAAAACCTTGCAACTATTTTGTATCCTTTATGTCATCATTTACAAGTTTATTATAAGTAGAACTCAATTTCCATATCTATAGATTCTTTTGGATTCCAGCTTGCCGCTACAAAGTACAGTCTAACAAGACAAATCAGTATGAACTTATTACAGGAAATGGAATAGCAATGCATAGTCAAAAAGTCACAGATGCGAGCAGAAACCAACCCCATTCTATCTCCATTAAAAACATTTCAAGAAACAAGAGCGAAGACTAAAAAACAGATATTCGAAAGTGTCAGCTGAACTAAATGCTATATTAAATAAAAAATTGAAACAAAAATAAAACAGATAGGAGGACACAAAAGATCCCTTCCCACTTCTACAAATATAAATTAAAATAATACGCCAAATGAAATGCCAAGAGCAAAAATCACATTGAAACTTTTACTGCTTAAATCCTAATATATTTATGCTTCTAATTTTAATTCACAGAGGTAATTTCCAGTAGAGTTTTTGGTCATTCATTTAGAAAGAATCCTAAAAACCTTGCAGCAGATTAGTTAAGCTAATCAGCATAAGAAAAAGGGTTCTCATTTGAGTATTGCTCGAATTGCAGACACTAATTGATTTCCAAGTATTTCAAGGAAGCACATTGACCACAAATAAGTTGATGTGAAGTCATTGTAGCATACCTGGGGATGAATACGGCCACAAAGCTCAGCAGCAAGTTTTCTTACATCTTCAAATTCGTACTTATTAAATGCTCTGAAAAAAAAAAAGAAAATAGACACATATGTATATATATCAGAACTTGTTTCAGGTCACTAAAACTTTATGACACTTCTGCTCGTGGATTAACCTCTTTAGAAGCAATGCAGCTACACACTCTTCGTCAATAATGTTGACATCTCCACATTCTGAAACTGCCTCAGATAAAAACGAAAGTTAGTTGCATCATCAAATTGTAACAAAGCAGACTATGCATTCTTAGAAACCAGGCAACAAGTTTACAGCTAGGGTTTGATCATGCAATAAACGGATATGAAAGTTGATGTGGTGGTAGTCAGTGATTAAATGAGAGCTAAGTTTACCCCTGCCTGCTATATATGATGTTAGAAAAAATTGATAAATTGTACATTTTGTTTGACTATCAGAAAGTAATTCTCCAAAAAAAAAAAAAAAAAAAAAAGGAGCTTTCTTTCCATTTAAAAATGTATGTTTTGGCATGCAAGATTTTTATAACACCCACCCCCAATTCTAAATCAATAGATATGCAGGAAAAGTTTCCGATACATTTAACACAGTCCGGAAAGTGACAAGTTCAGTTTCAACTATTGTGATTGCTCCATGAATCATCATTAAACCAGTCCAGATAGCTTCTGTCCCAGGCATGCTTGTTTATAAAATTTGAAGATGCTGTGCTGAAGCTCCAATTTCATTATGGAGCCAGTCCCTCACTTCCCAGATGCTTGACGAATTTCTTATGCAAGAAATCAAATGTTTTAGGGATATTGGTTATTCGAAATCCAGTATTTTTTTATTGACCACTGGAATCAACTCTCAATACATCCTCAATGCATGTGCATATGAACACATACATATCCATACATACACAGACAAACACACACAGACATACACAAGCATAACTTCTGGATTGATACTGAGCATTCTAAAAAGTCAGGGACTGAAAAACAAAGACAGAAAACATTGTGGACGACCAAAAATGTTCTTTCTGTGATTATATCATGTTATATATCTAACAGGTTCACAATTCATAAAACATTCAGACTTCAGGCAAGATCAATGGACAGAAGTGTACAAGTAAAATGTTAATTGTTGAAAGAAGCTACACAATAGATTATGAACTTGTAACTGGACTCCACAAGAATAAGCAACAGCATGATCAGCTTATGGAGTTTTTCATTGTAAAAGGAAGTAAGAAAAAGGGAAGAAGAAGAAGAGGCTTAAAGAAGTTACAAACAGACCATGAGCAATGCCTTGACTAGGAAGTTGACCATATAGAACAGATGAACTGAGGTCATTAAAAACTCTCAGTGGAAGCAGCCTTATAATAAGTAGTGGACAAAGGCGCTGAAAGAGAGATTGTTGCATTTTCACAGAGTCCTCGTTTGTATATGTTTTGATATCCCACATGGATAGGAAGCCTTCATCAATTCTGACAAAGGAAAACATATGAATTCAAATAAGGAAAATAGTAACATCATGACAGATCAAGATCTGAGAGTATAGGTATGCTTATGTCCAATCTAACATCCATCTAAGCTTTGTTAAAAAACAGAATGAGAGAGAGAGAGAGAGAGAGAGAAAACAACCATCTATGCTTGTATTAAATTCACGCATGATTTAAATGAGGGAAGATTTCCTGCAGTAATAGTAAAATATATGATCTTTTGCTTCAAGCAAGCTATAAAAGTGTAAATAAACAATACTTCCCTCGATTTGAAGTCTACTGACATTGTATAGTGTAAATTGTCATAACCTGTGGCATTATATATCGTAAATACATTCTTATAACTTGTTCATATTTTCAACTTTTAAAAATTAAAACTAAAATTTGATCGGATTAATTTACACCAACTGAACCTGATCATAATCAACTAAATTACCCAATAAACAATTTATTTTCTTAAAAAAAAAGGGGGACCGAAACAGAATAGTTCAATATCATGTGCTTACTCTTTCTGTCCCTTCATCTGCAAAAGAACAAGATGGAAGATTTCATTTGCAGCTTCTGCCAATTGTTCGTTTATATAACTCAAAAACCGAACAATAGTTGCATTTGTTGGCTCAGAAAACATCTTGTCAATTAAAGGTCCAATCAAGGGATTCCAGTCTTGAACCTGTAATATTTCATAAGGTCAGCATGCTAAAATTTATCTTGTACATGCAAATACAAAATTGACGTCAAATGAGAGTCTAATATAGCTTGAAATGAATGTTGGAAAAAGAAGGCAATATCTAATACCAATCATTTGCATTACAGCATAATACACAACTGATAATAGTGGAAATCCTAACCAGCTGCAATGAGCTTAGGTATTGAATAGAGGTAAAACCGAGCTGAATATAAGGTTCGACAGGCTTTTTTTTTTTTTTTTTTTAAGCTAACCCCTATTTCCACCACATGTCACCTGCTAAAGATAAGAATACAGAACTTTATTGCTCTAAAACAAGACATGTCGAAACTCTTATGAAAACACCTAATTGCCCCTATGTTGATTAGCAAATGGAGACGAGCAACCTAGTGCTCATGCTTGGCTCAACTTTTTAGCAAGCTTAAAATTTGGTTCATACTCAATTTGAACTGTGCTTTGGAAGAGTTTGATCAAGCTTAGAATCAAGCTAAGTTTGGGTTAAATTCAAGCTCCTCGGTCAATTTACAACCCTAATAGTGAATAGACAATAAACACTAAAGCAAGTAATATATAGAAACATGAACACATAAAAACAAAACAGAGTTGTCAGAACTGGTCTGGCCAGTGAACCAGCAAGGTTGCCAAGTACCCTGCCAAACCATGGGTCACTGATAAATGACATAAAATAATCTTAGTGTGTGTATGTGTGTTAAAAATTTACTACACAATAAGGGTAGTAGCCTAATAGTGGGGTGTGCGTCCACTTCAATGAGGTCTGAGTAAAGAGATGTGCAAGCACAACCATTTATACAGAGATGATTGAAAAAAGAAGAAGAAGAAGAAGAAGATAAACATTGAAAGAAATAAATGAAAATGCACACAGAGCAGGAAAATTGTTTGATAAAGTGATCAAACAGAGATAACATTGCACAAGATATATCCAAATCAAGGCAGCCTTAAATCTTACGGTTTTAGACCACTCTGGGATCAACTTGAGCACTCGATCAATGTCCACTTTTGATCCTGTGCATTGTTAAAGGAAAATGAGCATGGAATCATAGGCAGATGTCTTGCCCAAAGAGAGTGACAGGTGTCATGAAAAAACAAACAAACAAACAAACACTTCAAATCAAATACTTGACTCAGTTGTCAGGAGGATGGAATCAAAGAAAAAAAGGAAATCAATCATTCCTCATTCAAAAAACAAACAACGATTTTCTAATGAACCATATAGTATATCTGAATTTACCTAATTGGGGGAAAAAAATACAAACAGAAAGAAACAAAAACTGGTCAATGCCCAAATTCTGTGAACATTCACTATAGAATAATCAACCCAATTGGCCCTTAGGCTTAATGAGTTGGTTCCCAGTCTTAAAGTTCAAGCCTTGGAGCTGGAAGGTGGGGGAGATGTTTTTAACCTCTCCAAATTCTGCAAAAACTGTTGATATTTATGCTTTATAGGATGATTGCATGTAAATAATAGCTATAGTTAGTTGGTGATGTAATGCAAGGGAATCAATTGACAGAAATAGGTGAAAATAAAAGATCTGCCAGATCATAACATCTAGCAAGTGAGAGACAAACCTTCCCCTACATCTCCTGCAGTTTTTGAAGGATCTGGGCTTTTACTAAGGTTGCTGTCAAAAGATGAGAGAAAAAGACAATAGTAAATGGCTAAAACTCAACTCTGCTAATATGATTAAAAATGAGAACTTACTAAGAGTAATCCAGAAAAGAACAGACCATAGAGTTTTATTTCATGTGAACAGGAAAAAGAGAAGTAAATACCTAAGACAATCGATCAGCAAGCATATAACTTCTGGTCTAGGACTATGGTATTTGAGCATGGCACTAAAGCAAGCACTAGCAGATGATTGCTTCCCTGCTGATGAGCACACAAGGTGAACCAATGTAGGCAAAACAAATGATGGGTCTGCAAAAAAGAGAGAGAATTAGCAATGTATGCACATTGATTAAAGCATTTAATCTTCACTAGCAAAAGAGACAACAAAGAAGTTTCACCAAAGACTGGGTACTAGAAGATGAGACTTTGTATAATATTTCACAAATCACAAGAAAATTTTGGCTATAAAGTGGCCATTTTATGTTTAGATCATCCCCAAAGTGCAAATGTAGACTAGGACAATGGATTGGAGATAAAAGTATAGAAAACTTCTCATCAAAACCATTTTAAAAGTTATTTCAAAATAGCAGTATTATGAACATTCATGTCATAAAAAAAAGGTCCAAAAACAAATAGAAGATATTATGAATATAAAGAGAATGGCCTATTGGCAAAAACTATGCAATTGTTTTCTAAAATAAAAAAAGGAGATGCTTTGAAATTCTATGCAGCATTAATAGGAGAAATATGACTAGGTTTTGTGTAGCTTCAGGAGGCATCAAATAGACATCTTAAAACAACAAAGCTATGCTGCTATTACAATCCTACAAAAATATCATAAGGATTCCACGTCCCGTCAGAGAAGTTCACAAAAGACATGAGGCTACACCTCAATACAACATATTGGATTGAATTAGAACTATGAGATTGCACATAAATAATGTGATGTTATCCCTCCTACTGATAAAAAACACCTGTTAACAAGCAACAAGAAGGAAAAGGTTTTGAAGTCAACTAACCAATTATGGAGAGCAAGTTGGATGCCAGTTCACGAATTACAGTTTCTTCATCAGTAAGGCGTTCTAACAAGTTGTTTGCTATATCTTGCCTGCAATTGCAATATGGAAATATTATAAATGAAAATAAAAGCAAAAGAAACTAACCAATGATATAGTTCCAATACAGTAAAATACCACGCAAAATGAGAAATTTTGTTTGCTGAATTTGATGATATGGAAACAAGTTCTGATATAACATCAATGGCATTCCTCCTGTGCAAAGCATTTCCGGAAGCAAGGCGCCTTAGAACTTGTTTAAGGCAGTTACTGTCAGTGCTCCTGTTGAACCATTTATTATACAAATTTTAGCATGAATATTTAAATAAGCTGCCACATACTAAAAGACAAATGGGTTAGGAAAGACTACATTGAGCAGTATTCTGCTATAAGTATCACAACAGCCCTAGCTGTGCCATCCCGCTCATCCAGAAGGTGCAGTAACAAAGGTAGCACAGCATCCATCTGTCTACTGTCAGTCAGACCATTTCCAGATGAATGATTTGGTTTTAATATGATTGCTTTAAGTATGCAAACAGCACGCTCTATCACATCTTCATCAGCACAGTGGAGCTTCCCGCAAAAAAAAAAAAAGGTAAAGGAGGAAGAAAAGAGACAATAAGCATGACTAAAAGAAATATAGCTTTCTATTATAAAGAAGAATGGATTCTGACACAACAGAGTGGATGAGTAATATCAGTTATGCAGGCCATTATAAAATTCCAGATTTTTATTGCATTGGAGATCTAAACAAAAAATTTCAAACTCTGATTGCACATCTGGTGCTTCAAGGGACTCCTGGAAGCAAGCATCAGCCATTCCGCCAAATATAAAATGCTACTAGTGGTGAAGAATGCATGTATAAAAAGAAAAGAGAAGAAGAAACAACATATTAAGTGTCATGCCTCTGGTGTGTCCTTTTTCTTTTGCCTTCTTGATGTATAAAATAAGATTCCTAGTGTTATATGTAATTACAACAATATGATTTTAAACAATTTTATTTCATCAACCCAGCCCATGAAAATGAACACATTCATATTCTGTTTTAGTCAAAATCCTTAACTAATCATCATGCTTAATATAGGACATAATAACTTTTATCTTAGAAAACTGTTATGCCTAAAAACATGTATCAACAACCTTCTGCTGGCCCAGCCTAGAACTATTTGCAGTCTAAGCCTGATCCAAGCAAACTCCAGACAGCAGTTGCAAATTCTTTGGTGACTAATTGACTAACAGTAATTGAAAATCCTTTGGAGACTAATTGACCAACAGTAGTTGCATATATTTTGGTGACTAACTGACTAAGTAAATGTGAAATCAATCTACAAATATGTGCATAACTTGCAGAGAGGCTATACATAGTTATTTGCACAAGCCATATAATAGTAAGTTGATATAATTTAGGAGCTGATCAATTAATGGGTTTGTTCGTGATGTCAAGAATAATTACCTGTGACAAAAGAACTTGGGATATTTGTAAACCATAATCTGACAATGCGGTTTCAAATTTCTTGTTGTCTAAACGTCCCAAAAGAAGGCATAGACAACTCAGGAAAAATTTTCTAGTCTCTAGACCACCATCCTTGTTCTCTGTATGCCCCTCAGTATGGTTGTCCGTATAATACTGCACATGCATTTTGATTCCCATTTTTGTCATCGAAACTTAACGAATCAATCACTTGGAATTGAATTAAGTAGACAAGATTTGTAAAAAATAGATGGTTAGCGATCTTTCAAGAATGCCTAAGTCATCACAAATCGCCAGAGTTTATTGATACAATCTTATACAGGCTCACACTAATATAGGCTACATGCCAAAGCATTTTTCTCTTCAACTAAAAGAATAGCTATGAAGTCCAGGTTCTCCAATCTTCAGTCCAGGCCTTGCATTGTAATAGCACATAGATAGGAACTCTACATATCCTAAGAATAACATTATACCGCTTCATGATGCAAGAAACATGTGAAAGATGGCATGGAGATATGATCCCATACCATGTCAAAATAGATAAGCATCCAGATATAGAGAGATTCAAGCTGAAGAATTATTTGTATGGATAAAACCAGTAAACATAAATCTGGGTGCAACTTACACAAAACTAACAAACTTAAAACTAACTTTTGGCAAATATAACCTGGATTCCTGATATGTACTGATTTAATAAATCATTGCAATGCTGAGAAAATCTATTGTCTTCCAGGTGCAATAGAGTGCTATAGTGCTTCCAACATGAAGAGAGTAGCAAGGCTCCAGTTTTGAGAATGTTTCCACCTGTCTTTGACATTGGAGACACACAAATGATGACATGTAAATATCAGATATTATTAAAATTACGAAATCCTTAAAAGGCATATACTAGACCTGCCTCATTTTCAATGTGACCATAGTGTGCTTTTATCTCTTTTAACCATTTAAGAACTTGCTCCACCCCTTTAGCATGTAAAGGCCTACTTTTGCAGCTCCACTGCAGGGCATGGAAATATCAACAACTGTTTTAATAGTTAAGAAAAACTATCATGAAATCAGTATTTGAAGCAATTAGATATAACTTGGAGATCATGAAATCAGAAAAATATCTAGTGTTCTTTCTAAGGTCAGAAATCATTTCTTGAAGGATTTTAATACTAAAAAGGAAATCCCAGATATAACAATGCCAATAAAATTATTATGAAAAATACAATCATGTCCATGAAAGCAAGATAGATTCATAAAGTTTGTCTATTACTATGAACTTCACTCAAAACAGTTGGGAAAAATAACACTTATATTAATATAATAAAGTATCAAATAAATATAAACTTATACACCATCATATCTAAAAAAAAAGTCCAAACTTCTAAAGATTCAATAGCCTTAATGCTTCAACATGGTGTCATAAATCTTCAAAAAAATTGAAAAAAAGAAGTGACTTCATTAAAGTAACAGTAAACGTTGACTGAGGATAAGCTCAAGTACAAAGTTATGAAACATCAAACCCAAACAAAAAACCATTCTGGCAGACCTAAAGGTTTCTAGTTTTCTGATTGCATAAGCAGACATCTGGAGAGAATGCAGCCACACAGCACAAGCATATATATCACGATTTCAGCACCACAGTTACATAAAATTACATAGTCAATAAAAGACAAAATACAAGCAAGATAACTAAAGCATAGAACATACAGCGAAAAGTCTCTGTAACAGTGTGATAATTCCTTCCATTTGCTTCCAAAGTAAGTAAGCCATTTCAATATTAAACACTTCTGATGATTCAGATGGTTTCACTTTCTTCTCTTTGCTGGCAGCTGGTGCCAAACTAATAGTGTGTGATGCATTTGAATTCAGTAATTTTGGTTTGTTACTTGCAACCTTGGTCTTTTTTGTCAATGCTTCTGTGATAGATAAAATACAATCTGCAGCAGACACTGAAAGGCGAGAAGGCAACTCAATTCCATCCTTCAAAGTGCTGCAAAATCACATAGCCAAAGAGAGGAGACCCATAAGAACACTGAACCTCGTCATCACACATACTTTCAGGTGAACTACCAAATGTTGCATTTCTTAAATATCATGCATGCAACACAAGAAGCCGCATCGATTCACACTGATTTATAACATGTAAAGTATATCTACCATTCAATACCCATGCAGTAACAAGCTAAATTCAAGTATGAAAATCATACAAAATATAGTAGAAAATTTATGGCATTTAGTATTAATTAAACTCGAAAGATATAATTACAACCAACAAGATCAGGCAAGCAACCCATAACAAGAATGCTTTAAAATCAACGCGAATGGACGATACCTTCCATTGCACACTATGCAAACCAAATGCGGGATACCCGAGCAAAGTATCTTCAAAAACGCATCATAGTTATCTCTTATTCCTACCACAAACAAAAACCAAATGAGTTACAAACACATTAAAATTAAACAGCTGAGAAAAGTAAACGAAAACTATCTCATTACCATTTAGTGTATATTGCTCCATAAAATTCTCATACTCCACTAAACCGCGAACAAGAATACACCAACCAAGCGCAAGATACCGATCCTCTTTCCTCATAATAATATTAGCCAAATCCGCAGCAACAGCTTCGAAAACAAATTCATCTTGAAATAACCAGTTCATTATTATCATAGCTTGTCCTCCATGCTTCCAATTCACATTCCTCAAACACTAATAAAAAGATAAAATAAAAAAACAGAAATAGAAGAAAAAGAAAAAGACATAAAAAAAAACTCAAATTACAAGAATTAATTGTATTCGTACATGTTGAATAATAGGAAATAGAATCTGGTCCAAGTTCTCGTGTCTCTCAATCGCGTCTTTAACGTATTTGTGTAAAAACCAAAGCGAATCCTCCAACGAACCTACAAAGAAAATCGAATTCAAAATCCGAAACAGAAATCAGATGAAACAAGCAAGAAAGCAATTGTTGTGTGAGTACCGAGAGAAGGCTTTTTGTTGGTAGAGTCGAGAGAGAGGCCAGAAATGGAGTGGTGAAGCTTTTTAGTTCGAGAACTGAGGAGAGTACTAATAGCTCTGCCGATAGTGACTGAAATCATTGATTCTGTGGAATCTGATTTCCGAATTAACTCTTCCTCTTGTTGTTGATTCTCCATTGGAATTATGCAAAGGCTGGGATTTGGGTAAATTAATTTGCCGTTCGAGAGAAACTTCGAAGAACTATGGAGAAGGTTTTGATTTCCTACAACTGGGAGTTTGAAAAAGAGACGAATTGTTGTAGAAATACATTAGCTGAAAATACATATGGTCCCTATACTATTATATTTAGTCAAATAAAATCCTCTGCTTTGCTTCCAATTAAGGTAATTTGAGCATCTTAATCCAAATTATTACTCAATACTTGAGATTTTGGGATGCATGTTGCCTTTATGTAGCTTTGATAAATTTTAATTAATAATGGTCATGCCTATTTACTGCCTTCCATGCTTGGTAAATGAGCATGAGAAGAGAGTCGATGGTGCTGCTGCAACAATACAAATATCTACAAAAACTTGTGTCTTTGTTTTGTAGGTTTCCTAGCGTCTGTATAAAGACATTAAAACAGAAGAACAAAAAATTATTGCAAACGAAAAAAAAAAAAAACAAAGACGCAAATTTAACGATACTTAAAATTTTAAAACAAACATATGTTTATTGTTGAGAATGGATGTTTTAAACAACTTTTCTTTTAGATACGATGTTCTCATTGAAAACCACAAAAACACAATGAAGACACAAAAATAGAATTAAAAAATCAAATTAACAATCTAAAATCTATCCGTCTATAAATTAATAATTTATTATCTAAAAAGTTTCAAAAGTGTTGAAACTAAAGATAGTGCTATGAGAGATTTTTTATTTTTTGCAAATGTTATTGACTTAATTGTTGTTGTCGATCCTTTCTTTATGCCTTCACTAGAGTTTGTATTTATAGATTTATGAGTTATTCGTGATCTTTTATAATGTTCAATGTTCTTTTTTACTTTTTCTATGCTCCACGGTTGTTTTATCGTATTCTATTTTACTTTGATCATAGGAAATTTAGCTCTTTTTTTTTTAACTACCCTCATACAATTATTAAGAAATTTAAATTTTAAATATAACCATTCGAAAAGGTAAAAAAGCATCGAATGTCATAGCATGGCATATCTCGAGGCATATACAAAGTAATTAATTGTTTGGCTTCGGTGGCTCTTAATTGATATGAATAAAATTATAAAGCTTGAATCATTTCTTTGACTCCTTTCGAGGGATCATGCAAATGGTACAACTTATAGAAATTGAAACTACTTAAATCATAACATAAATAAATAAACTTTCAAAGGACAAGCAAACTATAAAATTGAAGCATTTTATTTTCCCCATTAAATGAATACTCGTCATGATGATGAAGAAATATGTTGTTGTTAAATAATGATGACATATTGCATTTCTTCTTGAACAATTTCAGCATGTTTCAAGCTCGCAAGACAATAAGAAAATATTTTATCGAATCCACATTACCAAAAGTCGAATACATTCCAATGAACTAATGCTCAAAGACAATAAAACCCAAATAAAGTCCGAGGAAATGAGAGGATACTATACCGAACAAAAATGACAACATTATGAACTATTATGCACATATCTAAAGATAAAGAGATAGAAAGAGATGGAAGACAAAAAACAAGAATGCCCATAAACCTCATTCATAGTCGGATCAAACGTGCTTCATCCCTTTTTGGCTCATACTTTTGCATTACACAATTTACTTGATTTTCAAAAAAACATTAATAACGTAAAGCCAAAATAAGATTTTGAGATGCACAATGTATAAAATGACCAAACTAAAGAGCCGAGAATTGCGAAAGTATACAAAGATGTTGTAGATTAAAGCTTTTTTTGGAACAATAATAAGATTTTGAGCTAGTCATAATCCATAACTTGGTAAAATAATCTTCCTAATGGGAAAATAATTATTGTGCAACAAATAATGTTATATTTGAATCAATGGTAACTCATGCCAATAGATTTATTATAAGCATAATAGCATTAAAGATGTCATTATACAAAAATTATAAGCTCATTCACGTGACAAGAAACCTCTAAACACCCATAACAACAAGAATATCAATAACGATTTATTCCTTCTAAGCCATTCACCGTGAGGTAGCCAAAAAGATAAAAAAGAATGATTGAGGCCGAATTTTCATCTTACCTATACAAAGGGTATAATTCCTAAAAAAAAATCTATCTACTATATTTTTTGAATTAAAGCCTTGTTAATAATATCTTTCGAGTTTGCCTTCCTCCTCCGTACAAAAAAAATAATAATAATATCTTTCGGGGAAAGGGATGTCTTGACATAAACCAACCACCTTACCAATTAGATTTTTCTATTATCACTACACATGAAAAACTCCAAAAGACATCTCTTTTACCTCATTTGTAACCTTGACCTATAAACCATTACCCTTAAAGTAGAACATGAAACATCGGAGGGCTCTATTTCAACATGTCCTTATATCTGTCACTACATCATCATCTCCCTACCCATCACCGATTTCAGTCCACACTCTTTTCTTTTTTAAAAAATCTATAAATAATTTGAAGGCCTTTTGCCTAAAAACTTCAAAATACACATCTATAGCCCTTTTGACCATTTGATATTTCACAACACTAAATTAGAAATCGACTTACGCAAAGGATCCGTTTCAAAAGAAAGAGATAAAATCTTCATTTGTTGGAATCTAACATTATATCCTTCAAGATACCTCGTTATTTAAAATTTTATTTATTTGAATCAAGAAATAAAGAGTCATCCTTTTCTAGGCACTAGAACCAAAAAATTCCATCATTTCAAGTGATTGAGTGATTTTGGATAACATTAGTAGCTTTGATGTTAAAAAGATATGATCCAAGAAACACATAAAGTTGATGGGAAGGATCATAGTGCAACTTTATGTTTGAGTGACCATTAGTCTAGTGGCAAGTTAATCTCTCCCATATTGAGGCTTCTATAAAGATTTTTTGAAAAAATAGTCAAAAGAAGACGTTAATATGCCTATCTCTCATGATTTTTTCCTTCAACCACAACAAAAGAAACATAATTTAGAAGGGCAAAAGCCAAGAAAATACTTATTTATCTAATCATAATTTTTGTGAGAAACTTGAATCATACAAAATTAAGACAAGATAACATAAAAAAAAGTACACTTCAAGTTATCAAAAACTAAAATGAATATTTTTAATGAAAGATAACAAAAGTAATACATAACAATTATTTCTTTATGCAACTATTTTCATATGATAGTAGAATTTGTTTTCTTTAAAGATAAAAAAAAAAAAAAACACACACACACACACACACACACATAAATAGAGGCCATTATAAAAATATTATGAGGCTGCAATTGCTAAGAAATGAGTGGTGGATGACAATAGCAAAGTACAATTAAACAACTAGTAGTTGCCAATTTAAACCATTTAAATAAGTATCTTTTTACCATATTACGAATTAAGCTCGATTCTTTAAGTAAGGATGCAACATTTTTTGATATCATTTTCTTTTACTCCTTAAGTGCTTTACAATCTTGTAAAAACAACAAACGTTAAGTAAATATTTTGTTGATTAAAATTGTAAAGCATATAGTAGCAAATTGAATATCATTGTTGCCATTAGACAATTTGAGACACCATTTCAAAAACGAAATAAAATGTTACGTTATAACACCGGAAGTTGAAGGATTAGTAAGCAATTACACTTCCATCTATCGAATATCTTTCTGAAATTATATAAATCTCGATGTTTCTACTAGCTAGCTCAAACCCTTCAAGCAACAACACCGTAAATAAATTTTTTTCTTTTCCGTCCTTGCCCTTCCGAACCAATTTATAGTTTTGGCTTCTACCCCTTTAAACTAATCTCCTAGTCAATTAATTTTTGAATCTCACTCATTATAGATCTTCAAATTATCATACACAAGTTACCATTTATACTCTTGATTGAAGTTACAAGAGAAAAACCTTTCGGGGCCATCATTAGCGAGTGCCATCGGTTGAATAATCTTTTGTTCCTTTGTATAGAGATGTCTTAGAGCTTTAACCTCTTTAGCCTAAGCCTCAGCCTCAATCTCACAAATGGATTGAAGCAATTTAATTTTGTGCAATTGTGATAGCTTCCATCGGATTCAACAAACCATTGTTAACAATCCATGACAATTTCCCTCCATTTTGCTCACACAAGCATTAAAAAATATACAAACTAGTTTTGATAGGCATGGTATATAAAACGAGCTTAGTGATGGATTTTTTCTTTTTCTAATCATTTAGAAAAATGATATTGACTATATGAGAATCACAAAATAACGACATCAATTGTGAGCTAAAAAACGAAAGCAAAGTGCACATAAGGAGTGCTAGCAACACTTTATCTAACACTCTCTTTTAAACACTTGCTCAATAAAAATATCCACGTTGAATAATAACAGACAGAAGATAACCGATATTCCATGTTCTTAGGATGTTTTTAAATTACAATAAATCTCATATTATCTAAATGTCTAAAATACCATTTATTTATTTTTTTAACTTTATTATTTGCTTTAAAACAAAATAATTTGTCAAGCAATTCGAGCTTTCATCTTGATTCCAAATTCTCTCAATTCTAAATTCTCAAACAACAAAGTAAACTTTGTTGTTATTCTTTGTTGTTTGAGAATTTGGAATTGGGAAGAAAGCTCGAATTACTTGATAAATTATTTTGTTTTAAAGCAAATAATAAAGTTAAATAAATAAACAAAGGGTATTTTAAACTTTTAGATAATATGAGATTTATTGTAATTTAAAAACATCCTAAGAACATAGTGGTATCGCTTATCTTCCGTCCGTTATTATTCAACGTGGATATTTTTATTGAGCAAGTGTTTAAAAGAGAGTATTAGATAAAGTGTTGCTAGCACTCCTCAAGTGCACATATATTTTATGAGAATATAGGTTTTTTTGACATTTTTTTTTATGAAGTGCTAACACAACCACATTCTATTGTTAGTAAAAGTCATGTAGTCAAGATGAATTCCATGTACCATAATGTTTCAATAGCTTCTTTAAGCGATATTGAACCATGATTATTTGATTCATCTTTATTAAAAATGTCCTTAGGAAATTACAAATTATTAGATAACTAAATAGAAGAAATTTGAGATTTAGCAAGCAACAAATTTCAATTGCTTATACGGCACATCGAGTCACCTAAATTAGCTTTAATGAATAGACAATGCATCAACAAAATCAATTCACACAAAGCTAGATGAAGTTAAACATATCATTACCGGTAAATACAATCAATCTACCTAAAGATATTTATTTTCATTGTTTTTATAAATTGATCAAAGTGTTAGAATTTCATGATTTTATGTCATTTGACAAATCACTATTTTATTATTGTCGATCTCATCTCTTCTCTCACTCACATTAGAACCCTTCGTTGCTTTCTTTCTTAACTCTACATTTTCCCGCAATCCAATCCAAAACACTTAAAGTTGCTTAGCTCCAAGCATTATGGCATGGCAAGGTCTCCATTTTGCACTCTAAAGCATTTGTTAAAAGGAAAATTTAAGACAATTTAAGTAGTCACTTTGTTAGAGACTTAATATATTGTATGTATTTGTTTTATCTATCTTTTTTGCATATGAAGCGAAGCAAACAATTCGATGACTATTCTCCAAAAGAAGAAAAAATATGCAATATGATGCATAACAAGTAACTAATCTAGACGACTCTTATCTTTAATACAATCGCCCTTGGTATGCTAAGCCCATAAACACTTAATGATACCATTTCTAAGAATCAATCATGAAAAAAATAAAGACACAACAATTAGTGTATCTCAAGTCTCTCTAGCTTATAGTATGCTATTAGTTTTTCCCTACTCCCCTCAAATACTTCAATCAACATCAATGAAAACATAATAGTTTATCTCTCGTATGTACTTGACAACGGATGATTTACATTATACTCTTCCCTCATTTTCATAACTATTAGTAATGTGATCTCATATGTTATGAATTCACGGAGTGTTTTTCCCTAGTGTCATGCTTCCGACAAACCGCAAATGCTTTGAAAAATAAAAGAGATAGGATAGTCTCACGAGCCATCATCAATAGAGCAATTTACTCAACAACCTTTTTTGTTTTTTGCATAGTGGTAGATTTCCTCCTCAACTCGCTGGTGTTTTGTGAACAAGCAACTTAACGAACTTTCGATGCATCTCTCTAATATGAGTTCATAAAAAGCATAAAAATCATGAATATAAATACACAATCGATACCGATTTGAGTGAAAATGAGATAGATTTGAACCATTTTTGGTAGGTAAAGTCTAAGGATCAAATCGAAGATGGATGGTTTCGAGTGTCCAATCTCCTATATAGTTATGCATACAACACTACGTACAAAAAATAATACGGAATCATGATTAAAATGCATTATATGCTCCTTCCTTCAACAAAGAAATTGCAAAAAAGCAATAGAATCATTTATATAACTATTGAACATGCTTGTAATGCCGCAATTAGTGGAAGCATTTTATTGTACATGTCCTTAGTAACACATCTAAGATTAGTTGGAGCTCTATGGGCAAACAACAAGTCAATCAATTTAGGTTTCAAACCCATAGCCGTATTGTGCGGGGAAAGATTTTTGGTGAATTCGAAAAGACATTATCGTGTATTGGAGCAAGTAAAATCTATTTTTAAAAACTTAGTTTCTTTTTGAAGTATTGTCCTAAAACTCGTACCAATTTTCATAAGCAATTATATTCAAAATATGAAAAATTTCATGTTCCGAAATTGTATATTTGACGAGATCAATAAAATCATTCTTTTTACCATCCTATTTTATATTGAAATGCGTTTTCTTTTGGCTTAACGTTCTAGAAAATCATGAACTATACATTTTTTAATGATTTTAGCTCGTTTTTTAAAAATTGTATAGTAAAGGTCACTAACTAATCCTCCGATAACAATATTAGCATAGACATGTAATTTTTTATCAAAATTTCAAACAATGCTAACATGGAAATCCATGTAAACATGGCATGTGGACTTTAGCAAGGCGGTAGGATCCACATAAGCAAGTGATGTGGAAAATCAATTACGTGGATCTTACGTAACTTGTTAAAGTCCACGTGTCATGCTTATATGCAAAATAATTGAGTTTGAGGTTGAAGAGTACATTGAGTTGATGAATAAGAAAAAAATTTAATATGATGTGTCACGTCATGTGGCAATTCTTTTTCCATCCGTCATCACCAACAAGAAAAATTATCGGATTTTAGTGAAAAAGGCCATATTAAGAAAATGTCAACGAGTAGAGGGACGTTTTGTGCGATTAAACCTATTGTACATCATAATTTTTTTTCTTAAAAAAATAGGTCAATGTTTGAGACATTTGATCAAACTAAAGATTTAATTTTAACCAAACTCTCGGTTTATTCGATTTTTACTATCAATATAATGGGATAAGTAAATAACTTTTATCAATATTTTGAGACCAGAGTATATCTAGTCAAGGATTAACCACTTGTGAAATCTAGCTAACTATTCTTGAAAATATTCGGTTAAGAAAATCTTATAATCATTATAAAAATTATATAAACCATTAGGAGAAAATGTTCAAGCAAATACAATAAATAAATGACTAAACTGTGAGACATTTTAAAGAGTTCAAAGAATTAAAGTTAAGCTCAAACCACATATTGGAATGGATTTCAAATACAAACGCCTACAAAATAAAATCTCAAGTCTGGCTAGCTGTGCTCTTTCCCGCCCGCCTGACAATAATAACCTGTAAAGTCAAATAACAAGCTGTACTTCGTTCTCCAATGCTTCAGCAACGCCCTAAAAGACCACTGTATATGCCCTTACAAGATCTCTTAGCGAAACCCCACTACGAAAATACAATAATAAAAGATCAATCGTTGATTCAACACGGCACTAAAATCCCACAAAATTCATTAAACCAATTTTCTTTCGAAAAAAATTATAGGCACATATGCGACCTCCTTTTGTCACAAACACACTCAAGATCCCTTTTAAAGGGCCTGCAAATTCATGCCCATGTAATTAAATCTGGCCTACAAATAATCCCTCTTGTTTGCCACTACCTTATTAATTTTTATTCAAAGACACAATTGCCTCTTCTTTCCCGCCAAATTTTCGAAGAAACTGGAAGAAAATCATCAACTACCTGGAGTTCTGTTATATCCTCATTTGCACAAAACGAGGAACCGGTACTTGCCATGCAGTACTTTGGTCGAATGGTTGGCGAAAATTTACCTCCCGATGACCATATTTTTCCGAGTGCTACTAAAGCGTGTGCGATTTTGGGGAGATGCGATGTTGGGAAATCTGTGCATTGTTTGGTTATTAAAACTGGGTATGATGTTGATGTGTTTGTAGGGAGTTCTTTGGTTGATATGTATGCGAAGTGTGGGGATATTAAGGAAGCGAGGAAAACGTTTGATGAAATGCCGCAGAGAAATGTGGTTTCTTGGAGTGGGATGATTTATGGGTATACTCAATTGGGTGAACATGAGGAGGCTATGTGGTTGTTTAAAGAGGCTTTATTGGAAGGTTTAGATGTGAATGATTTTACGCTTTCAAGTGTGATTAGGGGGTGTGGTAGTGCTACATTGCTTGAACTTGGGAAGCAAATACATGGGTTGTGTTTGAAAACGAGTTATGATTTGTCCAGTTTTGTAGGTAGTTCTTTGATTTCTTTATATTCAAAGTGTGGTCTCATTGAAGGGTCTTATAGGGTTTTTGATGAGGTACCTATTAAGAATCTTGGGATGTGGAATGCTATGTTGATTGCTTGTGCTCAACATGCCCATATAAAGGAAGCGTTTGATTTGTTTAAGAAGATGGAAAGTGTTGGGATGAGACCAAATTTTATTTCCTTCTTATGTGTTCTTTATGCTTGTAGTCATGCAGGATTAGTTGAAGAAGGAAAGAATTATTTTGTACTTATGAAGAAGTACGGGATTGAGCCAGGGACTCAACATTATGCATCTATGGTGGACTTACTTGGCCGTGCTGGAAAATTGCCGGAAGCACTTTTGGTTATCGAAGAAATGCCTACAGAACCAACAGAATCTGTATGGGGAGCTTTCTTAACAGGGTGTCGCATTCATGGGAACACTGACTTGGCAGCCTTTGCAGCTGACAAAGTCTTTGAGTTGGGTGCTGTAAGTTCAGGTTTACATGTAATGTTATCGAATGCTTATGCAGCTGCTGGAAGGTATGAGGATGCAGCCAAAGCTAGAAAGTTGCTGAGGGACCGAGGGATAAAGAAGGAAACAGGTTTGAGTTGGGTTGAGGAGGGAAATAGAGTTCACACATTTGCAGCAGGGGAAAGGTCTCATCCCAGAATGAAAGAAATTTACCAGAAATTGGAGGAGTTGGGAGAGGAAATGGAAAGAGCTGGTTATGTTGCAGACACCAGTTTTGTGCTGCGAGAAGTGGATCAGGAAGAGAAAAATCAGACTATTAGGTACCATAGTGAAAGACTGGCCATCGCATTTGGGCTCATTTCCATTCCACCGGACAAGCCAATTAGGATTATGAAGAACTTGCGAGTTTGCGGTGATTGTCATAATGCAATCAAGTTTATGTCCAAATGCTCTGGGAGAGTGCTTATCGTAAGGGATAACAACCGGTTCCATCGGTTTGAAGATGGAAAATGCTCATGTGGTGACTATTGGTGATTGAATTTTAAGAGATTCATTTATCCTTTGCTATAATGTATTTCATTGGTAAACCATTTACGAGACAACAAGACAAGGTGAACGTATGTATATAAAAGGCTCCAAAAAGGTTGCTGTTTTTGGCAGAAGAAGCTCCTTCGTCTATCGTTGACCTAGCCCTCTGGCTTGCATTCGAGGAACGGGAATTCTGGTTTATTTAGCGATTGAAAAAAGGTGTTGCGTTTCTGATTATCATCCAACCAAGTATTGCAATTATGCTTGTTTATATTCATCTTTTGTGAGTCAGGAGGCGAATTTCAAAAGTAAGTTATTTATCGGGTGAAAAATTCTGTTTTTTCTTATTTTTATTTGTGCATGTTTCTTGAGTACTGCAAACTGTTGCCTTCATGGTTTTTCTTATTTATTTATGAATCTGACTTTCTAGGAGTGATTCACTAGTACTTGATGGTACAAGCAGAAGTAATGTGGCCCCACTTTCAGTCCACTAGGGAACTAAATTATTAATGTCGAGAAGAGAAGGCATCTTATAAAAGGAATCAATTCCAAGGAAATTGGAATTTTCTATCCGAGATTAAATTTCCAAGTTGTTGGGGAACAACTGCAGTTAGAGTTCCAAAATCTGTGTCTCTTTGTGTTGTTTAATAACGAGAAAGTTCATCATCACTGTGTCAGGTTTTCATCCTATGGCGGTAGGCAGCCTCAATTGTGTAATTCTTCTCTCTCTTCAAGGATCTATTATTTATTTTACTTAATGCTAATTAACTTCAGCCATGACAATATATCTAAGCCGTTAATTTTTTTTTCTGTAAGAAAAAAATAAAAATTATGGAAGCTATACTGTTTTAGTGGTTTGCACTTCCAACTAGCTAGTGCTTTCATTTTAACAGCAGCAGCTTTTTCTGGGTATGCTAATAAGGATTAGTTGTATTATTTATGGTTTTTGTGTTTTGTTTTCGTTTTTAATTTTTTCAAAACCAAAACTGAAAAGTTTAAGCATAAGCAGTAACCAACTAACGTTGAAAATTTTCGACAATGGAAAACAAAGGGTAAATTTTAATTGCCTCGTTGAAAGTTTGAGTGTTGTCTTAATTTCACTAAAAACCTGTGATCTGTTTCAATTACATCCGACAGCTTTCATTACTCGCATTTTTTATGGATTGAGAACCACATTGTAATACGTGCAAATGCATTTTTCCCCATATATTTTTATCCTATTTCATGCTAAATTGGCGACAACCGAAGTGGACATAACGGTTACGATGTTTCTTTTCGCTCAAGTTTTCTCCAAACCTTATTATACAAACACAAGTCTAAAGGTTAAAAGACTGTATTTTTTGTTTTTGTTTTTTTTAATCAGTTTAGCTAGATGTATGTCACAAAGGCACTTTAGGACAAAGTCCCTTTTCAAAGACCTTCGAACATATATATATATATATATGCCCATCATGCATAAATAATAAAATCAGGCATCCATTATGTGGCAAATACTGTCTTTTCAATTCCTGTTCAAAGACACAACATGAAAAATCATCAACTATATTTGGAGGACTTCTGCCATTCAGAGTACTTTAATTTTGTCGAATGAGATCCTTCTTTATGTCATAAACAAATTTGAAATATTGATCTTAATTTTGTTTTCTTTCTGATCCTCCTAATTCCCTACCTCACCAGTTGAGTGCTTTCAGTGAATTCTCACTCATAACTTCAACCATTATTTATATTGCATAAAATTGGACCGGTCCATATTGCTAAGCACACTTAAAAAAAAAATAAATAAATAAAAGAAGAAGTGTTCTTATAGAATGCATGGCACTGCTATGCTATGCTGTGCCTAATGTCTATCTCAAGATCTGAAGGTTGTCTTCTATTTTTTCCCTCTCCGACCCTCTGGTCCTCTCTTTTGGTTATTATATATAGTTCTGCCCTGACCTTTGCCCACTTACTTCTTTATAACTTAACCTTTCCTTGGGTCAAAAATCAATTATCTACGGTTGAGGGCCCAACCACACAAACCTGCCCTTGCGCTTATTTGAAGATTTGACTCAATAGCTTAATGTCTTTCTGTTGATCCTGTAATTAGTGCCATCAATCGATGGCTCGTACAGCGTCCCTAAGTTTCTGCTCGACGCCAAACCAGCCGAGTCGTTCGAGAAACCCCTTTAGCTAATGAACGACATGGCTTTCAAGAAAAACTTTAACGGCAAACAATTGCACGTCCATAATACGCGCGATCCAGTTCGCGGAAATAAACGCCGTCTGTGGGTATCGAACCCACGACCACATGGTTAAAAGCCATGCGCTCTACCTCTGAGCTAAGACGGCTGTATGTCAACGTAACCTGGATAATTTTATTTGTAATAATTAAAAAAAACATTATGTCCCTTCCGTCGGAAATACGTTAGACTTCGTGGAAGAGGTGCCAAAAATTCAAGAAATATCAAAGCTGCTTCGGTTTACATACGCTTCTAAGGCTTTGGAGAAAAAAATGTTTTTTTTTTCATTTTCTTTTGTTTTTTTATATTTATTTTGCATCTAGGAAAAAAATTAATAAAAAATATTTTTCAAGTTAAAAAAGAGGAAAACATTTTTCTTCTTTCTCACGAATCTGTCTCGTTCTCGCGTTACTCATCTCTCTTGATATATTTTAATAATTTTTTCTCTATCTTCTTTTTATTTAAAATATATCAAATTAATTTTTAACTATTTCTTATCAATTATTTAATTTTTTCTCTATTTCTACCAATATTTAATTTTTTTTATTATAAATACATTAAATATTCTTAAAAACTATTTTTACATCTTAAAATTATTTTTATAATAAATATTTCAATAATTTATCTCTATCTTATTTTTTACCATTATCCCACACACCATTTAAATTATACTTAAATGATTAGAAATTCTTATTACAAGACTCGTAATCATTTGTGAAAATTTTGAAACTAATTAATTCATTAATAAATAAATTATTTTTTCAACATTATTTATTTACAACTAAATCAATAATTTGTGATTAATTTTAATTAATTTTAAAATTTTGTTGATAATTATAATTAATAACTAGTTACAAATTATTCCAACATTAATTTTTTGAAACCAAATGAATAATTATCTACAAATGAAATTAATAATGTGTAAAACTATTTTTAGACTAAATTATCAGTTCAATTTTTTTAAAAATAAATAAATTCTTAATTAAGTTATCAAAATAACAATGCTATGATTACTTATTTATTTATTTATTTACTAAATGTGGATATTAACTTGATTTTGTTTCAAGTAGTTTTGATAAATTAGTTTAATGGTTAAAAATGTACATTTTATTTTTTAATTTAAATATGAGAGTCAGTATTTATAAAAATTTATTAAATTTTTCTAAATATATCTTATATTGTAAAATTATGAATATGCCTTATTGAAGTTTCCTCAAAATTCGTTGATGCAATCACAACTTGTTTTTGTATTTCAGTTTTCTATATCAAACAAATGCTGAAATATATATTTTTTAATTTTTTTATATAATTACCAAACATTAAAAAATATTTTTTTTGAAAAATAATTTTAATTTTTTATTTTTTAGAATTGATTTTTCTATAAAAATTGTTTTTCATCAAACAAACGGAGCTTAAGTGCTCGAATTTAGTCATAGCTGTATTGGCATAAATCCAATCATGGTCTATAATAGCTTTATTTTCATTTTATATACCAACCTATAAATTACATGTCCGGTTTTTTAAAAATGGCGGATGACGGTAGGCAGATAATATTCTTTTGGGGTTAAAGAAACGAAGCTTTTTTTAATGCATATTTTGTGTTGCATTATTCAGGGTTTTACATAACTGAGGGAGGTACATGCAGGACTGGTCCTACCGACTCAAACATGGTTAGTTCAATACTCCAAAAACCTTATTTATGTTATCAACCTCTGCCAACTAACCCTTTATTAACCTTGCTGCATTCACTGGGTCTCTTTTCTTCCTTTTTTCTAGCTTGTTTCTGCTTTCCTTGTTTGTCCTTTGTCAACTTGCTTGCTGACCAGTTCTTTGATATATTGGAATTCTTTGGTTCTTGATTATCACAGTTTTGATGTTGAAGGCCGTTTAGTTTGATTAAGTTTTCTTTGGAGTTCTCTGTTAAATGATTGGTATTGTTGATTCCATTTGTTGGTCGTGTAAGATTATTTCTGATGTTGGCCACTGATGCTGTTCTTTATCTCTGGAGAAACATGGTCAATATGCCTCTCTTTCTGTTACTCAAGGACGCAAGGTATATATCCTTTAAAATTACCGATAAATTTCTTAAAAAATTCATGTATGAATCGAATCAACCTGTTATGGACTTTTTCTCCTCATTGATGTATGTGTTTTTTTTCCTATGTTTTCAGTAGGTATTTTTGTCTCTGGTTTTTTAGACTAATTGTGACCTTACAGTTCCCTTTCTTTTTTGCTTACTTTTTTAATGATGATCTGATAACACCTAACCCGTAATTCCCTAAATGTTTGGCCAGGAGTGTTTTCCGGAAGGATGAGTTGGGGCTGGAGATAGCACAAATTGCAATTCCTGCAGCACTTGCTTTAGCAGCAGATCCTATTGCTTCAATAATTGACACAGCATTCATTGGCCATATAGGTTTATCTTTAAAATCTTTTTTTTTTTTTTTATAAAGAAAAGACTGCCATATATTATGGAAATTTCTGTTTTTTGTTTTTTAAATGATGATGGTTGAATGCCTCTACAAAATTAGGAAGAACTTCAACGTATTGTGTTTGTTGTTGTAGCAAGTAAGATGATTCACATGCTTGCTAAATTGAATTGGTATCTGTTTCGATTGACATAGTGATTACTACTCACAGCATGCTGTTTACAACAAGCACTGAGTACATACGACTTGGTTTCAGAATTCATTTTCTTTTCCACAGGCCCTGTGAAGCTTGCTGCCGTTGGGGTTTCTATTGCTGTTTTCAATCAAGTGTCCAAGATTGCAATATTCCCACTTGTCAGTATTACAACTTCTTTTGTTGCCGAGGAAGATGCTACTGGAGGATCGACTGCTGAAGAACATGAAGATGCAACACTTGAAGGCAGTTTTTCTGTCAATAAAGAAGTGGAAGAGCTGTTGTCTAAATCTGGTATGCTTATCTTATTGTTTTTCCAAGTTGATTTACTTTCCTATGATTGCTTTAACTAAGTCTTTAACTTGTATAAGATGTTTTGTTTCTCTGTTTTTCTCTTAATTAGAGTCCACATACAAATCATCATCTATGAGCAGTAGTTACACCAAAAGGGAGTATGAGAGAAGGCATATTCCATCTGCTTCTTCTGCTTTGCTTGTTGGTTGTGTTCTTGGAATAATCCAAGCTTTATTCCTCGTTTTTTCTGCTAAACCAATCCTGAACTACATGGGTGTAAATTCTGTAAGTGCTCTAGCTTGAGTGATTTTAATTTTTGGTTATTGTTCATCATTTCTTTTGTGCCTTCTAGTCTTTGCAGCAACTTCACAATCCATATTTGTCTCTTGATGATTGTTTACTTTCTTATGGGTTATCTTGTTGATGAGTTGATCTAATGCTAGTTAGAGTCTGCCATTATGCTTGTTAAATGGAAAAATTGCTTAAATTGTCTGCTTCGACCATGGAAGTTGACAAGGCAATTTTAGTGCAAGCTGTTTCCCACCATTTCGTCGCACTGCGGGAAGTGATTTACCGAGTAACCTTTCTTCTTTGAACTTCAAATTGTCCATAAAGATCCTTTTCTCTTAGGAATTCATTTTGTTTCTGCAGGATTCTCCAATGCTAATACCAGCAGAACGATACTTGATATTGAGGTCACTTGGTGCTCCTGCTGTTCTTCTTTCCTTGGCTATGCAAGGAGTTTTTCGAGGAATTAAGGACACAAAAACTCCTTTATATGCTACCGGTGAGATAACTTCTTTTGTTGCATTTTCCCTTGCAAACACTATCCTCTATGCGTTGATAGCCGAATTAACAGAACGCGGTATCCATATTCTAGTCCGAAATTATTGATATGTTTCCTGTTGATATTTATGTAGTTATTGGAGATGCGGCAAACATTGTTTTAGATCCGATATTTATATTCATATTCCAAATGGATGTCAGTGGTGCAGCTATTGCGCATGTCATTTCTCAGTAAGTCCTATCTTTCTGCTAATAGTAACAGAACTTCACATTTTTTGTGGTTTCTTATCTCGAATTGTACTTAAAGAGTGATGTATCCGCTTGTATATGGTTGTTTCAGGTACTTAATCTGTGTAATACTGTTGTGGAAATTAATTGAACACGTTGATCTACTATCACCAAGCATTAAAGACCTCCAATTTGGCCGATTTCTCAAAAAAGGTGAGGCATTCTTTATTTTTACTCTTCTCTGCGTCTGTGTGCATATCAATTTTCTCACAATGGCATTATTCTGTTCATGGCTACCTCCACTGATTTAGGCAAGACTTTTCTGTGCTTCTACTAAGGGTCTCTTCTACTGATGAGAGTGATAGCTGCAACAATCTGTGTCACTCTGGCAGCATCATTGGCTGCAAGACACGGATCAACATCAATGGCTGCGTTTCAGGTTTGCTTGCAGATTTGGTTAGCAACCTCTTTGCTTGCTGATGGTCTGGCTGTGGCTGGACAGGTAAGAAATGTTAATTGCAAGTAAATATAATCACCGTGGAGATAATTTCACCATCACCTGTATTCAGTGACAAAGAAGCAATTCCCATTTGCCTGTGCATGAAGTTTTAAATGACTACTGAATAGGTCATGTAAAAGAGAGCACAGGAATGCATCAGCTGCAAAAATTGGAACCAAAGCTCTTCGAAATTTTGTTGAGGAAAAATCTTGTTTATTGACTAAAAGTTTGGGTTTATCAGAAAGTATCCTAGAACTAGAAAGCAGGGTATATCAGGTTGTCTTAATGCATGCTTGATCTGACTTTTCCCACTTACCTGCAACTTGTGTGTTTTAAATTGTTTCCATTTTCAACAACCCTTCTTAGGAGTTGAATAAACCGATAAAAGATTAAGGAAAAAGTTGTCTTTCCTTCCATGTGTTTTACTCAAAATTTGTTTTATCTTGGGATGCATATATTTGTGTTTCTCATAGTAGCTCGCTAACTTTACTATAAGCGTGTTTAAATTCTGAATCTCTCCATGTGATAGATGGTAATGGATTTCTTTATTGTTTTTTTTTCTTTTTTATCTTTTTCAGGCAATCCTAGCAAGTGCATTTGCAAAGAAGGATTATGACAAAGCCAAGGCCACAGCTTCTCGTATATTACTGGTATGCTGCATTCTTAGCAGAATCGTTACTTATTTTCTTTTCATATCTTATATATTGTGGTTCTATTGCAGTTTGCTTTGGTCCTTGGTCTAGTGCTCTCGATTTTCCTTTCAGTTGGATTACAGTTTGCTTCAAGATTGTTTACAGAAGACGTCAATGTCTTGCACCTCATTAGCGTGGGCATTCCGGTATATTTCGCTCCCTGTCTTCTGACTAGAAAAGTAGCGTCTTCTTTCCTGTTACTTAATTATATTCTGGATTATTTTGTGAATAATTTCTTTTTCCCCTTTTGCCAATCAGTTTGTTGCAGCAACTCAACCTATCAATGTCTTAGCCTTTGTTTTTGATGGAGTCAACTATGGAGCGTCAGATTTTGCATATTCTGCATACTCAATGGTATAATTTGCCTCTCTATTCTCTCTACTTGTTTTAAAGCTTAATTGGCTGCTGAGAATGGATCAGGAAAATAGCATAATGTTCATTATCTTACAGCTTCAAGTCCAGAATTGTTCGAATTCGTTTCTCATCTGCATTATTTTGGCAATAGGACTAACTATGAATCATTCATGTTAAATTATCTCACATCATATTCTTACTTTGTGTCTCCACCACCCAGGTTTTGGTGGCAATAATAAGCATTCTTTGCTTATTTACACTATCCTCAAGTCATGGTTATGTTGGCATCTGGGTTGCGTTAAACATTTTTATGAGTTCGCGTGCATTTGCTGGTTTTTTAAGGTAATAAATCATGTCAAAATAATATATATATATATATATATATATATATATATATATATATATAAAGCAATTCTTTTCCACAATTTCTTTCGTTTTTCTTAATTTTCACTTTTTACGATCAACGCCTGCAGGATAGGAACTGGTATGGGGCCTTGGAACTTTCTTAAGAGCTGATTATTTCTCCATTGGTTCATCTAACATTATCTCACTTTTTTATGACTGGCATGGTAATTGAAAGAAAGAGCCAAAGGCGCCATGAATATTTATGACGGATGACTACACATTTCTACATATTCTTTTGTTATAATAATAGTAGATGTATAAATGTATATGCAATGTGAAAAAACCTTGCCATTGTCTACGTGCTTGCTTCTTCATATCCACTTTCCATTTGTGGTAAAGAAAAGGTTGTCACTCCTTTTACCATGGCGATGCCAAGGAACTGCCTGCCTCTCATCTGATTCTTAGCATTAAAGCGAAATGGATTTATTACGCTAGATTTTCTGACATTACCAAAAATGAATGTTTCGTTTTATCCAACCTTATTACAATAAAACTCAATTCTCTGCGTCTAAGAAAGGGATTATGCATTTTGTTATCGTGGAACCTTCACTAAAAATTATTATTATTATTATTATTATTATTGCAACAATAAAAAAGAAAAAGAAAAAAAATTGTATAGCAAAACCATGTCTACCTCGTCATCCTCTTCTCTGTCGTAATCGTAAGACATTGAAATACAAAGGAGGACTTATTAATCCCTCAAGACTAAAGATTTGTTCCCTTGAAATTAAGCAAAGCTAGCTACGCTGTATAGTCCACCTTGCTTGTGGTCCTTGTAAGATACGGAAAATGGACATTAAATCATTGGTATTGAACAAAGAAAAAGAAGAGGCTAGGGTACGACTCACACCAATTTACCCCAACCCTTTATTCTCACGCTCCTATATTTATTTACTTATTTCACATTAGTCCTTAAGTTAATAACATTTCGGGCCAATCACACAAAAATTTTATTGTGATTACCAGCTAGTCATGCAAACTTGTTTTTCTTCTTTAAATTATGTGACTTGGGACATGTTCTTTAAATTTTTATTGAGGGACTGAACTGTGATAATGTTAAAGAATAAGGACTGGAATTTCCATTTATTTATTACTGTCATGATACAAAACAAAATTTTTAGTTATTGGAGAAAAGAGATAAAAATGAATATTTGTGGAGGATGGCTCCACATTTCTCCATTAATTTCCCTTTTTAACAGTAGATTTATACATCTATATGCAATTTGCTAAATATTGTCATTATTTCTATGTTTGCTAAAAGAAAAATAAAAAAGTTATGGCTTCTTTTACTGACCGTGATGCCAAAGAAATGTTACGTTTTACTTTTATCCAACCCTTAATAATTAAAGAGGATGAAAAGAGATCGAATAATAATTCTACTAGTCTGTAATTACTGAATTTTTCTTTTCTTTTCCCTTTTTTTTATATTTGTAAAACTTCAAAATAATTCTTTTTATACAAAAAAAAAACTCAAATGGATTAACAGTGTTAAGAAGGTTCAGATTTTGAGTTTTTTTGGTTAATATTTATAAGTAGCAAAATATTGTCATATCATTTTTCGCATCAATCAAAACTAAATTCACTATTTTTTTAACTAAAATTTTGAATTTTTTTTTATTTTAAAATTTTTAGTATGAAAATTTTATTTTGAATATTATATGCACAAAAATATTTTAATGGTTTTTTTTTTTTTTAAGAAGTTTTTAATAATTATTCCTATTTGAAATCATGTTCAGCTCAAAACACACAAGGGTTTATTCAATGATGTTAGCAAATAATATTTGCTGGAATAATATGCACAACATGACGAAGCTCGATCGAACTTGGGTTGTAAGTCCGCAATGAAAATCGTTTACAGCTGTGTTTAACCGTTCGTAATTAAACAAAAGGAGGTATGAAACCAGAATATTTGCGTACTGCCCTACGAGATAAAAGGCCTTTTTTTTTTTTTTTTTTTGGAGTTATTTTGGCTAATCATACGTAGTTTCATAACATTGCTTACTTCGTGCACTGGATCAAATCGAAGCTCGTATTCTTTAAATTGGCAATCCAACTTTTCCAATTAAAGGCAACTTAAAATCTTTCGTCCAATTGCATTTAACGTATCTTTCTGTTTTATTAGTATCAAATTTGAACAGATGGGTTTCAAGTTAACAAATCCTTTAACTATAGATTGAGTTTTTTTTTTTTTTTTTGGAGAATTTGATTTGATCCAATTTGAAATAGAGGGCTTGCTTTGTCCGAATATAGTGATTAGTGAGAAAACATAAATGGTTTTAGGCCTTTTTAAAGGACAATATGGGATGCTTATAAGGACAGCAATTTAATCCGAATTCCATAAACGTCACTTGAACTAATCCGAATAGGTAGAATTTTTTATGGATAGTTGCTATTTCGAAGGAAATATGAATATATAAAATCTTTATCTATTAAGTAATATATAGTAAATAGAGATTGTCTAACCCAATTTGAAAATCTGACTCAAAATACATATATTAGTATTATATACATATATGCAAAATATTTATAGTTTTTTTTATATCAAATATAGTATAAATATACATCAATATTAATATTATATATACAGAAATGTATAGTATTTATGATCTTTTATTAATATATATTATTCATAAATATACACTGTTTGAATATTATTTATTATTCAACATAAAATAAAAGAATAATATATATATATATATATCATTAATGACTGAAGGGCCTAAACCCCAAAGCTAAGCACACCAAGACAAACCGTTTTGAAAGACATAAATCACTCTAAAACCCAGCTAAGCTAACATCCTCCAGCTCGCCATAACACAACCCAGCGAAGATTTTCCAGAGTTTAAGCAGCTAAGCACCCAGGGATGGTAAATGATTCGGATTCCTGGTATTCGTACACTGTTTATTAGCCATCGAATCAAAAAATATATATACACACGCACATACTGGTTGTTTAGGCTCTTTTAATTTCAAATAGAAAAATAAATTCCAACACTTAAGCTTTAAATTCACTCTAAATTCCAACATTTAATTTCCTATCTTTTTAGAGTAATTTCTGGAGAAAAAAAAAAAAACAGAATGGTAATTCCCATATCTGAAATTAAAACAGTGATAATGAGGAAGACTGATGATCCTCTAATTGCAGAGCTTTCATTTGGTTACATACATACCTAATGTATGACTATGATCCAATGAACATTGGAATAGGTCTGTCTAGTGATTATTTGATTAGATCCCATCGAACACCCTACCAAACTCCCACCCACCCTCATCCTTCTTTAATAATGCAACTTTCTGTTTCCATTTTCGTGGCTTAAGCCCGAGTAACTATCTAAGCATCTTTTTTTTTTTTTTTTGATGTTTACTCTGGAGACGCCTATTTCATTGCAAAACAACCTGAGTTAACATAGTTTTTAAGTTATTAGTTTTTTTACTCGCGTTATGTTACGAGTCGAATAAACTACATAAAATTATTTTATTTTGATATCTTTTATTATACTCGTGTTCTATTAAAATACATCAAATCAAAATTGAGTAAAAATTCATTTAGTTTTATCATTTTTTTAATCAAAAATTTATATTTCATTAATTATTCTTTATATTTTCATAAATTTTTATTAAAAAATATTATTTATTTATCTCTATTCACATTTTTAGCTAAAAACTTATTTCGTAAATTATTTTTTTTAAACATCCTTTTGCCTTAAAATTTTTAATTGAAAAATCAGAGAAAAAAAAAACAAGGATCAAAGTAATCAAAATGAAATAAAAAAGTGAGACCAAAATCAAATAAAAAATATTTGTAGACTAAAAAAGCAATATTTAAAAAAGAGAGATCAAAGTGTAATGTCATGAAAATTTTCATAAATTTTTTTTTAAAATATTTAAAAACTACAAAAATGCTACTGAATAATGAAGGAATAGTGCATCCGAGCCCGGGTAAATAATGCGAATAAGTCCGGATGAACAATGTTTCAAATAGTACAATGAATAGTAACCAATGGTTTTAATTTACTTTTTTTTTTTTGGTAATTTGTAAGAATTCTAGTTTTATGTTATATTATCATTTGATTAAATAACTCCATATGTCCTTGTATACTATCTTAAATTTTCAATCTGTTTTTATATTTTTTATTGTATTTATTATGTTTTTAAAAAATATTTAAATTTCTAACAAGTTTTTTCAATTCATTTTTTCAACCATGAGCAGATTTTTTTATTGAAATATTCAAAAAAAAAAATGTAAAACTTTCAAAAAATAAAACATATAGGTCATAACGTTTTAATTGATTTTTTTTATTTTTTTTATTTTCAATCAAAAGTATTTTAATGATCGAAAAATTGATTAGAATGACAGATTATAAACTTAAATATTGTTTTAAAATATAATTAATATAATTAAAAATATAAAAGCAGATTAAAGACTCAAATTATTATTTAATAAAAAATTAAACTATTTATCTTTATTTTTCAAAAGAATATCTAGTTTTTACTTTTCAACCACAAGCCGCCCTAGCTTTTCTCAAGAGAAGAAATTACCTACAAAGGTACGGATTTGAGCCAAATAACTAAACCCAAATTTCAAACCAAAACGCCATAAACAGAACCATGACCCACCACCACAACAGCTAGATTATGACTAGGGAATTTCATACACAACTTGAAAACCTACCTCTTTCTGGACCATGAAATTGGTTGATGAATTGAACTGCAATTATGATTACCCAATTACGCAATTTTCCCACAGTAACCAAACTAAACCTGTGATGCCCTCCAAACTCAACCACCAAAATCTACACCTCCAAAACCAAGCAAAAGTAAGTAAGGGTCAACAAACTTGCATTTGATGATGGAAAAATATTGACATTCTATTCCACAACACCACAACCCAATTAAAGAGTTTGCCAATTTTACAAAAAGCAAAGAGATAAAAATATTAGAAATTATTTGCACCTAACATCCATTAACCACCCTAATCAAACTTTGATCACTTATTTGTAAGATCCAACAATACTAGAAATAAAAAGGACCTTGAAAAAAAAAACAAAAAGGAGTAACAAATATTCTTGCTATGAAGTGGAGGAATAATAAGAAAAGAATGTACATGGGGCATGGACTTTCCACCCCTTTGAGATAAAAAAATAAAAAAAATAACAGAACTGAATTATACCAACTTTTAACTCTAAAACCCTATTGGTTTTTGTCATGATCGTCCAAATCAAACTTTTCCTTAAACTACTAAATAAAGCTTGCGATGACACAACACAAATCATGAAATGCATTATCAAGTGCCTAAACTAGTCAATATATCATTTAGGCATTCTTTGTGGTAAGAGCATTTTCCCACTTTGCTTATAAACAAAGACTAATCGAGAACCATCCTCCACTGTCGTTTTTCTTGCCTTTTTTAGCTTGGTTTCTTTAAGTCTTTCTCTCATTGAACTACTACTTTTTTTTCTTTTTCTTTTTTTTTGAGACAAGGCAATTACTTGTCAAACTCAGGCACCGAAAGGTTAGGATGAGACAACAAGCCCTCCAACTTTCCTTCTGCTATTTAATAGTTTTTTTTTTTTTTTGGTAAAAAGAAGAAAAGAAAAAGCAGGAGATATTTACCAGATGCTTTAGTTTTTTCGGCACAGTATGGCAAAACTTATATCATCAGAACCAACGGATCGAAATAAAAACGTCATCAATTCCATATTAGTTTTTCAACAATCAAACTGAGTAGCAATGGTTTCACAGGTGATGGCAACTATAAGAGATTAATTTTTTTTTTAAAAAAAAAACTGACATTTTGTTACATTGTAACCTTAACATGTTGCTCATCTTAAAAAGCTTAAAAAAATACGATGACGATAGAGATAAAAATTTGAAAATATTAGAAAGAAAAATACAGCTATCCCGGGCATATTCTTTTTTCACTATATCCCAGGAGTTATCGATCTCAACCTTTTCTAACTTCTGATGTAATAATAAAATGGTGAAAATGAATTTTCTTTTTAGGAAATGACTTTCTTTCTCCCTTCCCCTCCTCTTTGTTACTGTTACCTTCAACCCCCGCTCCCGCCAAAATCATTAAAAAAGACATGAAATTATTTACCGAAACCGACTGTTTTTGCTACCCTGGGACTCCATAAAACTGGTTTTAGTTTTGCTGTGCCACAAGATGATCAATGTGCAATTGCTCAACCCATGAGCCTATCACATCCACATGGTCGAGGTCAACAGGTCGGGAGTTCATATTTGAACTCTCACTTGATGAAGCACTTGCTGCAACGCTTTCAGAGACATTGACTGTTGACTTTTCTTTCATCTCAGTTGGAGATTCTTTAACAAGTGACTGAACCCATGATACATCAGGCTCGTCTCCATTACCAAGCTCAAATGAATTTGATCGCCGTAGCTTACCAAATTCATCTGCACTAACAGTCCAGTCCGGCTTCCCATTAGAAGAACCCCATTGTGACCAAGAGTTAACTGGGGATCCAACAATGGAAGCAGTATTGGAGCCTAGTTCCCGAGAGCTGAGACTACGCAATTGCTGCTGCTGCTTCTCTCGTTGAGCTAGCATAGACCCCCAGGAGCTCATTGGAGAGATAGGTTCCACATTTCGGGGTGACATCCTGCCTGATGCAAAAGAAGCCTGCAACAGCGGGTGATCAACATTTTTAGGAGAAAAATTTGTGTTGATCGGTGATAACATGCTTTGTTGCTGCTGGAACTGGTTGAGAACTGCAGATTTGTGGGATGGGGAGAAAACCGCTGAAGCCAATGCTTGATCAGCATACCGAGGAGATAAGCTCTCAGCAGAAAATAGATCATCAAGATTTGAAGGGGATAAGGTTTTCAATCGACCAGAGCGATTCAAGGAGTTATTGCTCAATGATGGTTGAGTGAGACTGGATAACTCACTCAGAAGCTGTTGTTGCTGCACGTCAAAATCCGGAAGCAAGTTGTAGTCTGCTGGAATGTCTCTAGCGTTAAGGGAAGATCTCAAGCGACTGGACTGGAGATTGCTTCCAGGGAGATGCAAAGCTGGGACATTTGGTTGGGGCCAAGCCATGGAAGAATGTGACACACCATTGGCAGATGGAGACATGGGTGGAGTGAATGGTGAAGGAGACATGATGGGTGCTGAAGGAGAACCTGGCAAGAGGCTCATGGCTGCAGCAAAATCCATGGCAGCAGCACCTGATGTACTAGAGTGAGGAGAGGGAACAGCAGAACCTGTGGATACATATAATGGGCGGAGTTCCTCAACGGTGTGAGCAAAAAAGCAAACTCTCCTCATACAATTTGTACCGTCTTTGCACAGCCGGGTTCTATATTGAGCAGGGTGAAGCCAGCATTCAAAGACCCCGTGAGCATATTCACACATATCTCCACGTCTACAAGCCCCTTTCCGAAAATCAGGACATGGAACACAGCTATAATGAAACTTTCTAGGATCCCTTCTTCGAGCATTTTCACCTGGGTGAACAAATGGGCACTCAGTCCAATCATGGGAATATGCACGGGAACAAGGCCTTACCTTAAAAGAATACATTCGGAATTCATCAGTAGAATAGATGCTGTTCTTGATATCTGGGAGAGATGGATCGACGGGGTATTCTTTCTTCTCTGATACAAAGGAAATCGGTGCTTCATTTAGCTTTGAATTCATTGGGGAATCTGAACCTGACAGAGGAGACCCATCTTCCAGGGATGGTGAAAGAGGCGGAGAATTTGAATTTGATATGGAAACCCTTAGATTGTTCTCAATAACAGCACCATCAGCAGCAAGGAGTTCTTCAAGAGTCAACCTCACTCCTTGGAACTTAGGTGGAGAAACAATAGCATCAATTGGACGGTGACCATTGGCATCTACCACGTTAGCATCAGCACCTGCTGCTAAAAGCATTTTCACAACATCAACAGCATTCAAATCCCCACCTGAGGCAGCACAGTGAAGGGCAGTGCTCTTGTCAATACCGCAGGAGCGATTGACATCAGCATCAGATAATGAAAGAATCACCTTGACAACATCAATGCTACCATATGTAGCAGCTACCATCAACGGGGTCCTGTATTCATTAACCATCTGCTTAGAGCCCTTTTGTCGGCCATACCACAGTCCAATCTGATCAATGCAAGAGGGATCACGCTCAATAGATCGCTTAAAGCCCTCAACATCATTGTTAGCAGCGAACTCAAGCAAGCTTGCAAAAGTATCGTCAGTTTCAACAGTTAACTGATTCATGTCTATGTTGGCGGGTATACTTTCGTTGAAAGAAATTGAGGTAGTTTCAGAGTCAGTGCAAGCTTTAATTGCTCCAATCCACAGCACATAGTTTCATTTGCTAAAAGTACATCTGAAATGGAAAAAAAAATCTCATTAGCATCAACCTGCAAATAAATACACTTACTATCCTATCATCACAAAATTGAACCAGAAGAGAACAAATATTATCATTCATAGAAGTACAAGACATATTTGTCAACCAAATCAAACAATGTCATCAATAAACCAACCTCTTTTTCACCTATTCATAGAACACAACACAGAGCATAACAATTACAATGAATGAAGAAAAAAGAAATGTTATACAAGTATTTATAGAGTTAATGGAGCACGCCGCACATAGATTAGTACAAAACCATTGTAAAAGGCAGTACAGTACCAACCCCGGATAATAATAAAGTTCTTCGTTGCAACGGATCCAAGGAAAAATGAAAGGCACTAAATGACACTAATGAAGAAATCAGACTCCTACGCAACAATCGGCAAAAAAATCGGAAACAGGATTTTGTTTTTAGATTTTGCATGCAAGTTCTTACTTATTCTCAGGTTGGCCAATAAAGAAGTGCAATAAAGGCAAATTCCCTGAAATGCTACTTTCACAGGCATCCCAGTCCTATAACTTCGAAGATAATTTTAAAATGACTTATCTTTCATCATCATTCATCATTCTTTTCTTTAAATATAACAAATTTTAACCAAAAAATGGAAACAAAAGTATTAAAATCTTGAGAAATAATGCCCTCATAACAGAGAGGGGGAAAAAGAGAAAGAAAAAGAAAGACTGCAGTATAGGATTCTTTTGATCTTTACAAACAATTTGATGCACAAGAATATATATATATATATAAAAAAAACTAACTGAGCATACAAGAACATAAGCAATTTTATACTCTTTTCATCTTTTCACTTCCATGTTCCATCTTCACCTTTCCTGAGTTTTCTCAGCCATCAAATAGAAAATTAAGGAAAATAGAATCATAACAAAACCAAAATACCTCCCAATCTCAAAAGAACATAAAAAACTACTATACAAGAAAAGAAAAAATTAAAACAACAAAAAAATGTCAAAATACTAAGATTGAACAGTCAAACAGACACTAAAACAAACTGCCATATAGAAAACTAAGTACACATACGATCCAACACTAATTATATCCATTTTTAATAAAGGAATTTAAAGTAAAAAGAAAATGACCGATCAGGAACTTGTAAAAAGATCTAGTATTTGGAGGAAAAAATCTCACTAAATTTTTAACCGAAAAAAGAAAACAAAACCAAAACATAAAACACAAACCCGTGACAAAGAGATCTTCATGTGTTCAACCAAAAACTCTCATTATCTCCGAACAACAAAGCTCATAGAAAAACACGCAGAGAAATAAACAGACAAAACAAGAGAAACCCAGATAAAGAAACATAGAGAAGTAAACATTTAAAAGATCAAAGTGAACCCAAGTTAAGTATTCTTAAGGTTGCAAGAAGGAAGCAGGCTTACTTACCAGTTTGTTAGTTCCAAGCTCAGAAAGTGAAAGTTGAAGTTTTTCTTGGACAGATCCAGACAAAACAAGCTAGTGACTTCTAAAACAATCTTGACAAACTTATGAAGTTACAAACAAACTTCTTCTCCCTTTGCGTTAAGAGAGAGAGAGTTTTTGGAGTAAGTGAGAGAAGGAGAGGACTTTCGGCCTTCTTCCATCTGCAAATCCCATGTTTTTCTTTTGCTTCCTTTTCATGAAAAAATACAAAAAAAACATTAGAGAAGAAAAAAGGTTTTACTCTATTTTTTTATTTTTTGCTATCCAATAGAAGGAAAATGTCAATTATAAAAAAATGAAATAATAAATAATAATAAGCACTGACAATTCTGTTGTAGTCCTTACTACAACTTTTTTTTGTTTTTAATCGACCATTCATGCCACTCCGCTGATATGTTATTTTTTAAAGGGTAAAATAGTCATTCACCATGAGCACTGAGTTAGTGGATGAGGTGGCGAGTTGTGAGTGGTTAGTGGTGAATAAGTAAAGTACGACTTGACAACGAAGATGAATTCTCGTTTGTAATAATTTAATGTTGTCTTTACGGAAGGGTAAAATTTATTTGGAATTCAATCTAAATTCACCCAAGTTAAATTTTCAAAGGTAAAAATTTAGTGCAGTAAATTTGGAAAAGACTAGAGGGGCTACCGGTTGAATTGGCACGATGGCATTGGTTGACATTGTTTGAATGAGTAAGAGTATCATTCCATTTTTTTTATTCGGTTTTTAATATCTAACATCGGTGTTTTATTAATCAAAAAAAAAAATTTTAAAAAAAAAAACAAAAGTCGAATTTAAGTCGAAATATTATTTGATTTTTTTGTTTAAAAACCATAATTTTGATTATTGGTTTTGATTTTTTCAGTTTAAATCAATTGTTTTTTTTTTGAATTTTTTTTTAAATTATACAAATAGATATATCTATAATAATATTATAATAATATTAAGGTATTGATTTTTTTAATTTATTTACACTATCTTAAAATTTAAAATTAAAAATAAAAATTGATTGTCAGTGTAAAAACTGAACTAAAAATTTCAAAAACCAAATATATATGTGTGTGTTTGATTTTTTTAATTTTAAATTAAAAATCAAACTAAAATTGATATTTTAATTTATTTGTCTGTCTTTATAAAGAAATGACACTATTGAAAAAAACCTATTACGTGCCACCGAATGAAAGAAAGAAAGGAATCCATTATTAATCACTAATTCGTATTTTAGGCACCTTTATGGAGCTGATGGGTGTTTGATCAGATGAAAAAAAATAATAAATAAATAAAAAGTTGATGGATGTTATTATTTATGGAGTTGATGGATGTTTGATCAAATGAAAAAAAATAAAAAGTTATGGATGTGATTATCTGGTCATAAATTCGGACATATATGCGTTGGAGACTTGGAGTAGGTATAGTAGATAACTCATAAAAGGTTTGGTGCCTTATTGTCTTTGATGTCTTGTTGTGTCGGGAGGTACGAAGGCCTAAGATAAATGAGAAACTGAGACCGAGGCAATCGGGTTGACGTGTCAAATTAGATTCCGACAGTATTTGAGTTCGAATGGTTATATATTGAATCCTAACTCGTCTGGATGGAGTTGGATCAATCCATAGGTTTAAAATGATTTTTTTTTTTTTTTTTACAATAAGTATAAATTTTATTGGTCGGAAAGGGTAGCTTCTTATAACATGCTACAAAACCAGTCCCGAAGAGACGAATCCTAAAGAACCGCAAGGGTTTTCTTTGCCACCACGTGGGTAGCTCAGTTACAAATTTGTTTAACAAAATAGAAAGAATTGATGACAAAAGGTTTCATTAGGAGTTTGTTGTGATTATATCGAGAGATTATAGTTATAGCTTTCAAGTTATAGATTATTAAATATTTTTATTTATTGTATGGTAATAACTTATTTTATCACCCAATAATTTAATTAATTATTTTTTAATTATGCTAGTTACTAATATTATTGTGCAATTATGATTTAAAATGCACAGTTCCTATAGTTTGTTACACCATTTTGTTACGAGTGTGTTAGAAATCGTAAGTTGTTCAATTATTCTTTTTTCATTAGAAAGACTTTTAAATTGATCTAATAGATACTCACAACTTCTATTGATCCTTAAAATTTTAATTCTTTAATATAATTAATTCTCAATCGTTAATGTATTTAATGAAGCAATCTATTGTTTTCAATTTATGAGAAATAAAAAAGACATGTTCGAATCGAGTGAAATCATCTATCAAATTAATGAAATAGGATGCTTCGTGTCTAACCATTATATTTACGGAACCATAAAGTTGCAAAGAAAATTTTATCCTCTAGGCTTTACCAAATATTTTTCTAATTGTTTTTCCTTGAAAACAATGTTCTCAAGTGGGCAAGTGACTTCTTATGGTTGATCTTAAAAGACCGTCCGAAGCTATTCTCTTCATTCTATCTTGCCCAATATGTCCTAATCTAGACTACCATAGATCAATGCCTACATTATCATCGCTAGAAGTAGTCGGCATAAAAAAGCATACATTACTAGTCATATTAGAATATTTAGAGTTCAACACTATAAAATCATCCATGATATAATCGGATCCTAAATAAATAGAACCATTAAATGTGTCTAAAGTACTACCACGAAAGTCCAAATTATATCCTAGTTTTAATAGAACTCGTACAAAGATTAAATTTTGTCAAATCTTCATAACGTAAAAGACTTCATATAGATACATGGTTTTTTCTTCTTGGAAGTTCAACTTGCATGTGCCAAGTCCAAGCACTTGAACTCCCATATTATTACTCACATATATGTATCGCATCCCACTTGAAATCCCATGAAATTCTATAAATACATCTCTAACTATATGATCGGTGGCTCTTGAGTCTATAGTCCATAAAGAATGAGATTTAATGAGCATGATAGTATTAGAAACATAAGCATTAATAGAAGAGATGCTTAAAGACAATATCTTATTTGGCCTAGTGCATTCACAAGTGAAGTGACCTTACTTGCCATAATTGTAGTAGGTCAACTTGGTCTTGTCTTTATTTCCACTGTGCTTAGAAAACTTTTTTCTCTTTTAGAGTCCCTGTCCAATCTCTTTTTCTTTTTTATTACTACGCCATTTAAGTTTAAACACCGAAGCTTTCTTAAAACTAGATTCGACCACATATGCTCGTGTATTTATTTGAGTTGCCTCAAAGTGCTTATCTTCTAACTCAATATGGCGAGCAACATCGGCAAATTTCTTGATTCTCTCATTATGGGTCATGATTATTTTTATATGCTCCCAACTATCATGAAGAGATCGGATAACAACCTGTACCAACTGTTCATCTATCAAGATATACTCGGCTTGCTTTAGTTACGTAATCATGTTTGACATATCCCTCGGATGTTGTTTTATGGGTTTTTTGGAATCTTCTTA